ACAATTCACATTCACATGTATATGGTAAGACGTAATCAAGAGATGTTCTCTCCAACTGGAATGAATCACTCTGACACAAATGATAACCCAAAAAATGTCAGCTTTCCAGCCCTGTTGATAAAATGGAGAGTCTACTCCCCTGAGCAATCCTAGTTTGAGGGAACTGAGAATTACCACATCCATCATGCCGCGTGCATCACACAAATCAATAAGATTTGGCACTTTCACCTTTAGTTGGAGGAGAAAACGTCTTCCATGTCTGTAAATCATCCACTACCTGACAGCAGAACGGTTGGGGGAGGGGCATCTGGTTTCCAAACATAAGGCTTTCCATTCTGTATCTTGTAGTGTCTTCTAAGAATGAAACCTGGGATTATGTATGGAGGGAACCATTCTGGGGGATAATTGATAAGCTGTCTGCAAAATAACCGTGCATCAGAAATAGATTTTGCTTTCTCGAGGCCTAACCTAGGAAGGGATTGGAGTAGACATGAGTTTCTGCTACAGTAATATCTCTCCAAAATGCGTTGTCACCATCACATACTAAAAGTATACCATTGGTAGCGTCAGACATTATTTACAAGGCTTGAAATGCCCACATGCAACCTTAATTTTGCGAGAAAAAAATTCTAGATAGCAGAAAAATGCACACAACTTGCAATTTGGCGGCGTAAAAGAATGTAGACTCTGTATTATGAATCGTCTATAACAGAAACAAGAAGTGTTTTGATTCCTGTTTCAGAGACAAGAACACGCCAAGGTCACGTCTTGTTGCTGATGGTGGGCGTTGCGCGCAGGCAGCTCGCAGGAACAGGCAGGGTGCGGGTGGGGTGGTGGGTTCGGCGCACCACATGTTCTTACAGCAGCAAAGTACAGACACACATGTACACATTCGACACAATGAACATGCCAGGTTGTAAGCCATAAGCCATGGTGAACATGAACAGATATTACAAAATTAGCCAGTCATGTATTCTCAAATAATGAGTACTTACCAGTCGACGAGGAGAGGGTAGGGGTCACAGACGACCTCTCGTCACTGAAACACTTTTTTTAGCAGCGCTGGAGCCTTCGATCGACACGGTATCGATTGAGCGAGGACCGAAAACACGTCAGGGTCTTGAAGAAAGTCCTTCGCTGGAGCTAATTACCCGCAAAAGGCGAGAAAACCGCCAGGATTTTCTGCCAATTCCAAGTCAATTTTCCGATGTTCGAACGCCCGACCCCACGCTCAACCACGTGACGTATTGTTTTGTCATAGGGGATATTTCCAGCCTCTGATTGGTCAATCATCCTTATTTGCATGACTTCTCACCTTATTTGCATGTATCCATGAGCAACCATGACGTCATGACGTAACCTAACCCGGAAGCAAAAGTTCTCGGCAGGTGAGATAACGTAACATAACAGCCTCCAAGCTCCGCTCCCAACCCCAACAAGGACATTTTTATAAATCTTTATGAAGAAAGGAAAGGTCACCTTATTCAGCAGCTGAAAATGTCAGTTCGGATGCGTAATCTCCAATGGCGCAGAGGTAACTGTTAATTAACGTTTTCTGGCTGTCTTTTTTTTCTGACGGCCGGCGGCCATGTCTGCCAATTTCACCCAACAATGAACGTTGTGATAATTTTGGCCTATCCGTTACGGTTTGGGTAGAACTTTAGGTCAGAGAAACTGTAAGCTGACGCCAAGGAATCAAACAATCAGCAGTCCCATTAAATTTCATTGGTTATGGTCACATTGTCTGTGTTTCCTTAGCAAATAAGAGCCCCATTTGCATGGATTATATCAGTTGGTCATATAATATTTCTCCACTCTCCATCCATTATGACAGCCTTGCCAACAAAACAAAAAAAGGCTATTTTATCACTTCCTCATAAATTATTAAACCAGAAGTCATGATTTGAGTAAGTTATGTTTATTGATGTTCACCTTCACTAACTTCCAAATGCGGCAAGTATGAAATTCCCAGCAGTTACTAGTAACTTACTACTATGAAATTAACATGTGTAACACACAATAGCAACTGCCCATTAATATATGCAAATTAGGTCTTTATTTACATAATCTATCTTAAGATGTCCCTCTTGTTCTCAATTACATGCCACAAGTGTTTTATAGTCTTATTATCATATAGCCAGATAGCGTTGACCAATCAGAGGTCCTCATTTGCTATTTGTTATGACACCATAACACACCCAGAGGTGTTTAAATCCCATAAACACCAGAACCAATCAGCGTCGACCGATATGGCCGCCGATGACGTCATAGGGAACACGTTTTGTTCGAATTTCATCAGATCGAATGGTGGAACATGATTCGGGTTACAGAACAAACTTTGTCTAGGGACATTTTTAACTTTGCCTGCATGTCATCTAGGGGAGAGAGCATGACATAATGTACGGGGTAAGTAGGGCACACTAGTAAACATATCACACCAGCACGTAGACTTAAACATGTTTCAACACAAGTTCGTAAGACTCGCTTGTGTTGCGCTCAGAATTTAGCAGATGGATGCCGCTTTCTTGTACTTTGTAACTCGTTTGTAAAATTGTAATTATTATTAGTGGTGTGATGCCATCTTGCTTGATATTGCCTGCACGCTCAGGAATTTAGTAGTCTCATTGTTTCTGATATTGGCTCCTTGCAGCACAAGATGAACATAGCTGTTTTTTAAATTCACAGAGAAATTCCTAAGTCATAATGTAATCTAGTATGTATACATGTATATATTTGTAAATACCCTTGTGCAAATAAGCTGCGAAATTTCAAAGCATAACGACACCACTGTTTCAATATAACGTTAACTGTGGACTATGGTATATTTACACACTGCATTTTGTAAATAAAATGGCGACACACACTTTCTGTATCATAAATGTTTTATTTCCGGAAGAATAGTTACTGTAATGTTTTGCTTGTTCCTGATTGAATCACTAGACTAAGTACATTATATGCGTGTCCTGGTCAAGACAGTGTGATTGTGAGTGTACCATAACGAGCTTGTTATGGTGGCGGGGCAGAAGTGATCAAATACATGAAATTAAAGGCTGCGACTGCACGGGTACTGTTTGGCCAATAAAAAACATTTATTTTTTATATTTTCTATTTCTAAATAGTTGCGGTGGATCTTGACTGCTTAAGTAACAATGATGGCAGCTTGACCACTTGAAGGAAAGGTGGATGGAAAAAAAACAACAACAAAAGTTTGGATAGGCTCTATGATAATAATGTTAATCCCCCACCTTATCCTCGGTGTATATAAAATCCCTGGTCAGGTGTGATAACCACCTCATAAACCACCTCGTTCGCTACGCTCCAAATATACCACCAAGTGAGCGTAGCGAACGAGGTGGTTTATGAGGTGGTTATCACACCTGACCAGGGATTTTCTCACCATATACACCTCGGGGCGGGCATTAACCCTTTATTATCGAACAAAGCAGATTTATAGAATTTGCTCGTTAATTATGGTTATTAATTGTCATCTAATTATGTCAAGCATTACTTCAGCTAACTTACATACCAAAAATCATGACAATCCATCAACCAGTTTTTGAGTTATCTTCCCTCTATGATTTTCAACAATTGACCTGCAGTTCTAGAACAAGAAGCTAGGGAGGGTAAGAATTAGGAGAGTAGAAACAGAAAGACACTCCTGGTCCCAAGCCGGGAATCAAACCCACGCTAAACGAACCTAGTTCTGGGCCGGGATTGAACCAACGCCAAACCCAGGCACCAGCTCACAACCCCGACGCTCTAACGATTTGGCTAAAGAGTCTAGACCCATTGGCTGGGTCAATTAGTAGCGCCTATAACCCCCCCCCCCCATGTTACAGGAGCTTAAACTCATGTCACTTCTTCCTTAGCCCAAGAGCTATCTACTAAGGAGGGTCTGCATGCCCTTTTTCGTTAACCGTTATAGGCTAATTTAATTTACCGTTAATTGTTGCCGACCCGCTCTAATTCAACGTTAAGCGTTATCAGTATATTCCTCATGAAGCGTTACTGCTCATTTTAATTCAACGTAAAACGTTATTTGTCATCCTAAATTCAGCGTTAAGCGTTAATGAATAATTCTTTGTTACGCCTAATTTTGCCTTTCAAAGTGCAGGAAAATGCGTCATTGAAGGTTTAAAAATACAAAATTTCCCCCGCTACATTGCTCGCGCCTTTGGCCCTCGACTTGCACTTCTGCGCTCGGTCCCTTCGGCTCTAGCCAGAACCAGCTTTCCTGTCAATTTCCGAAAGTTTGCGGAGAGTTACAGACTTTTTTTAAAGTGAACCTTGACAGGCAAATTAACAAAAATCTTGAGTAAAATATGAAAACATCAGAAGGACCGACAAACACTCTCAACACCATGATTTGCCTCTCAAAAATGCGGGAAATTGCGTTTTTGAAGGCTTAAAAATCCTAAACTTCCCGGACCCCCCTAGATTAATCCATCGGTAAAACTGGGCAGACTGAAAAAATACAAGCTGACCAACGTCGACTCGGACTCCCCTTTATTTGTGGACGCACTCGGGGACCAGGGCAGGTGGAAAAACACAGGGAACACATACCTTTAATGCAAGCTTCATTACATGTAAGGTATACATAATTTTGTCAGTGATCACCTTTTCTCACAAAGCGAGATACCAAATCCAGTGCAGCTCGAAAAAAAAAAGCTTGTCAATTTACCGTTGAGCGTTGCTGACCGTCCTGAATTTACCGTTAGGCGTTATCGGCCCTGCTGAATTTACCGTTAACCGTTGCCAGGACCCCCCCATGCAGACCCTCAATTCGTGACCCTAGCTTGACTGGGCAACCCCATAGCTGCTTTGTGCCTTGTAACTTTGCGTATCATACCCTGGTACGGTCATGTCCTCCGCCTCCCTCCCTGGCACCCCACATGCTCCCTGCTGGACTTTGCCCCTGAACAGGCAGGATGGGGGCGGCCCAGGGGGGTCCCATGTACCAGATGGATGGATGTTGTACAACATGACCTGAGCGACATCAGCATCCCGCTCTCCCAGATACAGCAGCTGGCTGAAGTTGGCGGACCCTGCTGAAACTAGTTGGCTTGATGCACAGGTGCATGTGGATTGAGATTAAACAATAAGTCTTGAAACTGGATGGAGAAGGTTGATATGGAACAGTCCCTTTTGGAATGCGAAGAGAAATGGACTGAAATATGCTGTATTTGCTCCTGAACAAATGTCGGAAATTGTTAGAAATTTCTGATTGGCATTCAGCAGTTGCGACACTCCTACATGTAGATGCCATGTTTGCTTAAATTCATTGTGGATTACACATTGTTTGTTTAGTGGGGTCAAAGTGAGAAAAGACACAAAGATAGGTTATATGAGTTGGTGAAGGTTTGACATCCAGGTAATAAGATACGCCAAAAAGCAGTTACTCAAGCAACTGGATATGATTTTGGACACTGTCAGATGTTTCAGCTAGTATCCCCTACCTTTCATCAGTGACACTAAGACCAGATGAGAAATGCAGCTTTTTAAGCAACATTGATGACAACATCAAGTTCACACAGCAGCCAAGTCATGACAACATGCTCCCTTTCCAAACTGGCAGTGATCAAAAATCTCTTCCATCGGGCAGACAACATTATCACTTCAAAAATTTGATGTGACTTTATTGACTAACTGCGGTATAAGATACAAAGTAATGCATATAATGGCATATAATGGAACTACAGATCCAAAGTTAAACCAAGTACTAAAGTGAGCAAAGATAACGAAAGCAAGTACCTGTACAGATGAGTGTGTTGCAGGGAAAACTACCAGACTAAACTACTACTAACCTAAATCGGTGTGCTGGAACGGAGCTTCCGAGAGGCAAAGAACCTAGATCTAGGGCGCGTCCCGCTATTTTATATTGCACGCGGGAGGGCGGGGCGACATCTGCATGGCGGAGGCGTGGTCAGGCTTTGGCCAATAGTGCGTCTGGATCACGTGCTCTCACCACGTGACCCCAGACCGTCTAACGCAGTAATTGGCCTGTTACACCACCTCCGAGGTGCCCTGACTTTAGTGTGGCTACCAAAACTGGACCTTCAACAAAGCGGATCAGTCTAAGAAAACCCAGAAGTGCAAATCATTGACCAACAGAAACAAGGTCAACATCACTATTCCGTATGTCCAAGGAGTGTCTGAGAACTCTGACAGATCTTCCAAAACTTCAACATTGCCACCACCTACAACACAACCAGGGTCACTCTTTCAAAATCATATCTAGTTGCTTGAGTAACTGCTTTTTGGGCGTAAAAA